CCCCAGCTTTCTTAGCAGCAGCATCGGCACTTCCCTTATGGCTCTCAACTCGTCACTCTACCGTTTTTCCCTCGGTCTCTTTTTTGCACGATTATTTTGCGCTGAGCGCGCTGGGCTGCAGCTGAGTACCCGGACCCGCGGGGCTCTTGGCGGCGCCGGGGACGCGAGGGCGCTCGGCTGCCAGCGCTGTGGCGTCGTTGGTGCCGCCTCCCGACCCCCCTGTTGTATGTTTCCCACTTCTTTTCCTCCGCCGCATGGCCTCTACTCCCCCTCCTCCGTTCTCTGTTTGTATTTTCGTGGGGGAGGGGGGCTGAGAAAGGCGTCTGGGAGCCGCGCCGCCCCGCGATTGGCCGTTGTTAGTCATCAACAAGTCGGGCCCCCCATGCGGCCGCCATTGGAGAGGTCCCCCCGGCTGCTGCCGCGAGGTCGCGCCTCCGCGGTCGCTCTGTAACCGTTTAGTTTCGAGTTTTAGGGCGGACTTCTGTTTCTCGGACATGGGGGATGTGGATGTGACGTAGCTCCGACGTGGTCAGGGGAAGAGAAGGTGAAAGGGGGGAAGGGGGGGGGGATCCTCACGATATGCCTCATGCCTTCGCCCGTAAAAACGATTCAGCCCTAAAAGCGTGCAGTCATAATTCATCGGAAACGGAATGAAACAGATAGGGATCTGCAGTCGTGTTTCCTCGCGGCAGCGAAAAGCACACAAACGGCCGGCGGAGAGCCAGGCGGGCCCGCTGGGCCATAGGAAGGGGGGGGGGGGAGGGGCCGGTTAGTGTTCTGAAAAGAAAAAAACGAGCGCTTATTGAAATAAGCGGCCTCCGACCCGACCCCCCGCGGGACCAACCCCTCGGCTCCAACCCCTGCCGCGCGCCCCCGCCTTTCTCGCCCGCACCCCGTCTCCCTCCCTCCACGGCCGCGCCGCGGGGCAGAAGGAAGGCCGAGCCCAAAACTCGTGCTAACTCTTTCCCTCCTGCCTTGCTCTCCTATCGCCCGCTTGACGAGTACTCTATTCTCCTTATCGTGCTCGGGCCAGGCGGCAGCTCGGGCGCGTGCCGCCGATGTTATCCAGCGCGAGCAGACATATCGGCGGGCGTCAAGGACGTCATCAAGGTCATGGGTGTGAAGGACGTCGTCCGTCCGTCAAGGTCGTGTGGGACGGTGCCGAGGACGGCGCACACGGAGCTGCCCCGAGGAGGGCGGCCCCCGGGCCGGGCGGTGGTTGGTGAGGCCGCACTCCAAGGTGCGGGTGTATTATGGGTCCCTAATGAAATCACTCAGACTGCGGACCCTCCCGGAGCCCGCCCGGAGCCCGCCCGGAGCCGTTACTTAAGCTCCTCTTACCAAACAGCAGCCATTTAGCGCCAGGCGGGAGGGGTTGGCGCCCAGCCCCGCCAGCCGCGCGGGCCGCACCCCGCCGAGGAAGGAGGGGAGGCGTTCGTTCCTGGGCTCATTTAATCATTAGGTGCTCCCGACCCACCGCCCCGCCCGGCCGTCTCACTATTGGTGTAAAAGTCGGCTGGCGAGGATTATCGAGTTGAGGATTACCGTCACCCCAAACGCAAATGTTAATTACGCCGAGGTGGGTGGATGAGTCGAGAGGAGGGGGGAATGAGGAGTGGGCTGAATGAGGGACTCGAGGGGCAGAGTGAGCCAAGTTTGTGGAGGCAGGCTCAATCCCGCATTGCGTTTGAGTATATTTACACAAGAATTGGCGCGAAAGCGTTTGAATGTTTTCAGTACACAAGGAAATAACTCCTGCCGGGATACAAGTCGGGGCACGACGGTGAAGCAAATCATTTTCTCACTCGCTGCACACCGCTCGACTAGGTCAGGTAGGGGGAAAGGAGCCGCTTGAATAGGGGGAGTCGCGCGACGCGGCCCGCGACGCCAAGAAAAGCCGCTACCGCCGCGGAAAAAGCCAACATAACACACAATTCGCCATTGAATTGAATAAAAATAAAAGTAAACTGCTCCCTTTCCTCTCCTTCTTGCCCCGTCAATAGGATCTACCCCAGCGCAGCCAGCAGGCCCGCCCCACCACCCTCTTCCATGATACATCACTGCTTCAACACTTTGTAGCATATTCACCCCTTCTCGCGCCGCCGCCTGCGCACCCCTTCCCTCCCCGAGCGCCCCAATCTCTCCTGCTCTCTCTCCCTCCTCTCTCTCTCACTCGCTCTCCCGCTCGTTGACGGGCTTATCCCTCTGCCCTTTCCGTCGCTCTCACCCCCTTGGCTCCCACGCCTTCCCCCTCCTCCCTCCCTCCCTCCCTTTCCGTGCGGCTGCTTTCCATCCCTTTCATCGTGCGACGCTGCGCGACGTGCGTGCTGCCAGAGCAGAGCCCCAAGGCCCGCCCGGCTGCCAAGACCCGAAATCTGTTTCACCCCCCGGAGCCGAGTGGGCCCAGTCCATTCCCAGCCCCGGAACAGGCCATTCTCCCCTCGAAAAGAATGACCATTGTAAAATTTAGCGACTGGCGGAGGCACGGCGTGGCGGGTCGGGGGGCGGGGGGAGGCGGAGTGGTCGAGAGGGGTGGTTTTGCGCTGAGTGGCACCACCACGGCGATCGGAACCGCCCCATCGGCGCGATGTCCGAACAACCTCTTGGAAGTGTGCCTCGCCACCGCATTTCCGGTCGCTTCGCCGCCGCCCCTCCCGACGCCGCCCACCCCACCCCACCCCGCCTCGGCCAGGGCGGCGGCGGCGGCGCTCCGGAGGAAAAGGCAATAAACGGAGGAGGAAGAGTGGCCGAGCGGGGCGGGCCGCGGGCGGGCGCAGTGCCCCTCGGCGCCGGTCGCCCCTTGGTGCCCCTCGGAATCGCAACGCAGCGCCGCCGTCCGCGCAGGAAAACCGAAACCGAGACTTAGTTTAACAGTCGGCGACCACAGCGGATTTCCCCTTCCGGGCCCCACTTAAAATTTGCATTCCGGGTTGGCAAGATTTTTATGGCCTCGTATTTGGCCTTGTTGCTGCTGGGGTCTGGCCCCGCGCTGGGCCTCCGCACTCCCCCTCTCGGTCCCGGTCGGGGCGCGGCAGCGCGGCGGGGGTTCGGAAACGACTGTAGTACATTATGCACTGAGGTTACTCTGGTCGTGTGTTGCAGACGGCATGCACATGGTCAAGTCGGAGCAGAATAAGCTGGAGCTCGACGACGACGAGGACGACATGGACGAGCTGGACGAGAGGAAGTACCACATGCAGCACCCGTACCACCACCCGCTGCACCAGGGCCTGCCCGGCCTCATGCTCAAGGACGAGCCGGGCGTCCCGCTGCCCGCGACCAAGCCCAAGATATGGTCGCTGGCGGACACGGCCGCCTGCAAGACGCCGCCCCCGCCGCCCCCCGGCAGCGGTCAGCCCTGGCCGCCCTCGTGCGGCGGCGGCGGGCCCGGCATGGGCGGCATGGGCATGAACGGGTTCGCGCTGCCGTCGGCCTCCATGTCGCCGTCGGCGGCCGCCCCCGCGCCCTACTCCCGGTACGGCGGCGGTGGCGGCGGCGGTCCCGGCGGCGGAGGCTTCTTCGGCGGCGGCTCCTACAGCGGGGGCGGCCACCCCGGCGCCCTCGGCGGCGGACCTTGCGGGGGAGGCCCCGGCTTCCCGGAGGTTCAGACGGACACGCCGCCGCAGACACCGCCCAACCTGAAGCTGCCGAGCGTTGCTGGCAACCTCAACTGCTTCCAGGGCAACCTGCAGGGCAACCTACAGGCCCAGCAAGGGCCCCCCTACCCGCAGCAGCAGCAACAGCAGCAGCAGCACTACATGCAGGCCACCAGTCCCAACAACTACAATAGGTTACAACAGCATCCGCAGCAGCAGCAGCAACAACAGCAGCAACAGCACCACCAAATGCAGCAGCACCAGCAGTCCCACCTACAGCAGATGCAGCAGCAACCTCAGATGCAGGAGATGTCCCCCGTCAAAGAGAGGTCGCCGATGAACTCGGGGGACGAGGGCACGGTGTCGCCCTACCACCAGCAGCAGCATCAACACCAGATGCAGCAGCAACAGCAGCACCATATGATGAATGGCAATACCGGAGCCACGCCTAGTCCCAACGAGAGCACCGCATTTAAGCCCTTTTACAAAAGGTACGCTCAGTTTACATCTAATTAAACCCGACCCCCGCCCCTCCTCCATTTCTCACCCACTAACGATTAGGACGTTTAGATAACCGGCTTTAGTAGCGTTCTAAAGGATCGATATTCCCGTCCGGATTCTGTTTCTCGCCTTCTGTCTCTGTCGCTCTCCCGCACGTGCCTGACGGCCAGCATTTATTAGGCCGCCGTGGACCACGCGAGGCGCGACACACACACAGTCACTCACACACACGCTCGCACGCACGCGCTCACGCACACTCGCACGCGAGCCCCAAACGTCTCAACAGATTTCTCCGCGGCGATACAAATAAATTTATTAGTAGAACAAGCTGTTGGAATGGCCTCGCTGCCGCCGCGCGCCGCCCGCCCCGTCCTCCTGTCCCGTCCGTGTGCTGCCCGTTAATGACATGAGCCGGGGAATGTTAAAGGGACAGCGCCCCTTTTGCACGGCCAGCCGCGAGAGGGGCGCACGGCCACGCCGGCGCACTCCTATGTCCATTCATACTGCCCGCCCCGCCCGGCCCAACCTTGTTCATTCATCGTTCCATTATTTCGAAATGGATAACATCTAATTGTTGCATTCATATTGTTCCAGTTCACCAACAATGGGCGGCGGGTTCGTGTCGCCCGTCTAGCGGCGTGTCCTCCGCTGCATCCTGGCTGTGAGCCCCGGCGGGCCGCCCGGCACGGCCGCCCTGGCGCCGCTCTCCCCGCCCCCACCCCCCGTCCGCCCCC